TCTAGTGCCCAAGTGGTAATTTACTGCCCCGGCTCCCTATGTCAGTCACTTCCTCCTTGATACAAGCAGTGAGAGTGCTATGGCCCTCAGACCGAAAATCGGAAAAAGGAATTTTCAGGAAACAAAAGTTCAGTTTTTGTGTGTGTGCTTTGAAGAGAGAAAAGGGCAGAGGCACAAACAGCCTGGCTCTGTTCCCTCTGGGGAACTAAACAAACCAGCCATTTTCCACCTTTACAAAAATGTTTTTTCCTTAGAGATCTCTCCATGCATCTGCTCAAGTATTAGCAGAAGGATGAACCGCAGTAATCACTGACTGGGGCTGATGAAATTGAGTTTATAGCCAGATCCCAAACTCGTTGCGCCATCAGAAATCCCATACGTGTTAAAGGACGTTCTGGAGACTGGAACAAAATTAGTAACTGCTCTTCAGTTCAACAGTTTATGAAGAACTACCGTTTATTACAATGACAATTGTAATAAGTACATATGGTCTAATAATAAACACAAATACAATGAAAATGACAACTCCCCCATTTGTGGTGATTCTTGGAAATACTTACTTTGGAAAATACATATTTTTAGGAATCAGATCTTATTTGTAACCAATTAACATTAGAAACGAAAGCACTGGCCTACAGGTTATAGTACTTTCACTATGATCAGGCAGGAAGTGAGGTCAATGCTGGAGGCAGGGCCAGCAAAGGTTCAAGCCAGAGGGTCTAGAAACTCTTCTGCTGAGCAGAGAGAGCAACCCAGAAAATGGAAATACCTGTTCTAATGTTTAACAGTATTTTATATTTTGTCTGTGGTGCAAAGCAACAGCAGTGATCTCATTTAACTAAGAGCCACTTAGCTGCAAAAGATTTATTAAGAACAGAAAAGCTGGTGTGTATGTGTGTGTGTGTTTTGAGGGGGAGAACAAGGAGGACGTTAATTAAAAGCCTTTTGGAAGTGTAAGTTGAGAACTTACACTTTAGGATTCCATGACGATCTAAGATGATTTAGCTGTTCAATAAGTTTTTGAGTTTTTCACTGATTGCAGGCTGGGACAGGACTGCTAAATCAGAGTAACAATCCAGAATTAAGAAAGCAAGTGAGAGACCAAGAATACCAAGCATTAAATATTCAGAGAGACTAGAATGCGCAGTTTCAAGATAAAAATAAGGAATGCTTTATAACACATTAAGATATTTCTGTTTATAAAATACCATCATTTAGAACAGGAGAATAGGGACCTTATTAGGAAGGACCACCTTTGGTGCAGACATCTCCAGGTTAGACGCGGGTCTGCACAGCGCCAGCCTCGCCCTGAGGAAGATCAGCCAAGCGCAGAACTGTTTTTGTCCCCCTCCATCAGTTGGTCCCTCTCTGATGCGTGCTCTGTCTTCAGAAGAACTTCTTGCTGCTTTTCCGAGCTTCAGAAGTGGCCTCAACACCCACGAGGTGTTCATCACCCGCCTAAAGAGAGCTTGTTTGGGGTGGAGGGGGTTTCAAGGCTACTTCTGTTACTGGCCTGCGGGTAAGCTGTGAGCATGCCTAGCACTAATACGGCTATTTTCCATCTTCCATACTTGTATGGCCAGGGTGGCAGGGGAAAGATAGTGAAAAGTTACGGCTGGCCTACTTTGCCCTCTTCTGGGGGGTGGGAAGCCAGGTACAAGGCCAGAGATGGTGTCCAGCAGCTGGACTTTCGTCAAGGAGATTGCTCTCCTGAATCAGCCCTGAGCTCTGTGGATGCAGAGCTGAGGCTGGAGGGTGGGACAGAATTCCTCAGGAAGGAAGAAAAGCTGGGAAATGTCTGTTGACTAGTCAGGAAACTGGGAGGGTTTTCAAAAAAAAACTTAGGTGGATGTCTATCCTCCAGAAATAAGCCAAAAAACATACCATGCAGCTTTCTAACAAGCTTTCTAACACAAGGGTTTAAACCTTTTTTAGTGAAACAGATGCTTTGCCTTCCATTTTGTGAAGGCAGGAAAGGAATAAACGTGAGCAACACAAGCATTTTTCTTCCACAACACACCTCATCGTTATGGCTTGAGTATGACTCCCACTGTATCCCTTTATTCCAATTGTTTGACCAAATTTATGCCCCAAGGCAGATGTACTAGAAAACGCCAAAGCACCACAAAGTGAGAGACACAGCTAGTGGTACGTACGGTACTTCTTGCTACACAAAATGCCAATATAAATATGTTAGAACAAGTTACAAGTGTATCATACTTAAGACAAAAAGAAAAAAATAAATATATATATTTTTTTAAAGAGCAGAACAAATCTCAAGCAGCCAAGTGGTGAAGTTGCAGTGATGTACAGTAGGTGATGTAGCCCTACAACCTCTTGGGAAGATACACTGAAAGAAGACTTCTGCAAATGCATCTTGGCAAAGTATGGGTACAGAATGCAGTGGTTGGCTGGCACTCACTATGGTACATATAAATGTTAATGGCAGACTGGGAGTGAACTGATTTCAAGTTTGAGGCCACACACATTCCATTCTCCAGAAGAAAGTTCTCACACAAAATGAAAATTGTCAGAGACGTTGGGTGAGTCAGTACTCCTCCTGCTGCTGGGGCTGTTCATGGACTTGCTCTTCACCTTCATGCTCTTCTGTGTGGCTCTCCTGCAAGGGAGAAAAGACCCCAAAACATTCTTTAGCAGGAAGCATTCCTCAGGTAACCTAGTCCCACAGTGCTCACCGTAGCCTAGAGCTTAACTTCTAATTTTCGTTCTAATGAGAAGACATCGGTAGCTAGTAATTCCAAGGTCGCCAACAACTTACTTGTACACCCTTGTATTTTTTTCCTCTGTCTCTTCCTGTTCCTCATCTGCACTGAATGTTTCTCTAAGTCCCTTCACAAGGGGCTTGTAAAATAGCTGAGCAAACAGTAAACTTGATAAATTAAGACAATACATTAAGACAAAAACAAAATAAAGAGTCTTTTTTTTTTTTTTTTACATCTATCTTAAATGCATTGAAAATAAGTAAAATAAATGTTAACTCCTGCTTAACGTAATTCAGAACTGTGAACCAATGAAACTTTCAGTAGCTATTTTGCATAGCTTTTCATTTAATGAGCTTTAAAACTGTAAGTTTGCTTACTGCAATCTGTTGCTGTAGCCTATAGGGTGTGAGTAGCGGTAAATAAGTTCAAAACTATGTTAGGCTAATCCATGTCGACGCGTTTGCATGAAGTTGTAAACTGTTTATTATTTCTCAAGTACCTTTGGACTTGCATGTAAATACAAAATGAGTTGTTACCTGAGAAAAGCAATATCTGGTAGTATTACAATAAAATGTATTTACTTGCTTATTTTTAATCAGTGCGTATGTAGTACTGATACTTCCCCATGAAAAGCATCAGTTCTTGACATCTCTGAGTGATGATTGTTCCAGTAAATGAATATTTTAAATAGCTAGACAGTGAAATGCCCAACAGTTAGATGCTGTATCATAGCATCCTAATGTCATCCCATTTTCAGTCTGTCTGAGGATTTCTGAACTTGTTTGCTGTAATTTTCACACAGTCTTCACTCTAGGTTTGTATCACAAAATAGACTTGACACGTTTGCTGTCGACTGCTTTAAAAATTAAACTCAGCCACACCTTTAAGTCAGATATTCTACCACCCCAAAATGATTTACCCATGCTAATACAGACCACAGTTCAAAGGTGACCAAAACTCTGATGTTTAGTGTTATCCAGAAAGTGTATCGGAAGACTTGCTAAGCACGAACATAAATATTTTCTATGAAAAAAATTCAGTTTAGCATTCACGGACTTACACAGCTTCTGCTAAAAGTCAGATGATCACTAATAAACACTTCCCTATTACAAATAAATGTAATAGACAGTTTTTTCCAGGGTTCTGCTTCTGAAGGTACATTGCTGCAGCAAGAACACTGCCTGACTGAAAGCAACCCTAGGTCCGCAGAGCGGATAATACTATTTTAATCAATTTCCAATTCAGAGACAACAG